GATTGAAGCTGCTAGAGTACAGGCTGGTTATAAAACAGTGATTGCATAATGTTACATACATACATACATAAACTTTATTTCAGTGTCAATGTATTTAGCTGACATCAGCTAATTGGGGACACTACACTAGTACAAAAAATTAAAATATATATGTACATACATAATAAACTCTATATAACAGTTAACAGTTAACTTATGATTATGTAATGATTACTAAAGTACCTGAACACTAATAGGGAAGTCACGTTCTAACTGTGCACAGACTTCATTTACTTCCTTTTCCAAGGCAGGCAAGTCATGCAATTCCTGAGTGTCACTACAAATCTTTTCAAGAACATCCAGGAGGCGGAAGAGTGAAATCCTTTGGTTTCGTCCAAGAAGGCCTCTTAAGCGGAACTGTAAGATTCCATCTGTGGCAAGCTAACACAATAAGTTATAAAATAACAGTCAAACGCCACTTTTCAGCCTACTCTAAAGCTACATGTATTAAGTAACCACCCTACTTTTCTATTCAAAAACAGTGTAGTGACAACCTTTCTACCTCTTTTAAGCTGCGACAACCAGTTCCTCGGACTGGTGATTTAAAAATTAATTTTATATAAAAAATTTTTGGAATGTCATCACTAAACACAATTCCACACACACAAATATACATGTTCACAATTAATAAACAGCTAACACACTTGAAAAATATAATAAGTGAAAAGATGTAACTTATGTTCAATTCGCTACATGTACATGTACAGTAGACAATCAAAACCTAAAGAAAACTGCAGCACAGGACTGTCTACTGGGGTAAATATACACACCATGCGGATGGCCACCTTCTATTTGGCAAATACTCAACATTACTTGACACATATACAATACAAATGTTTTTGTACCTGTTTCCAGTCATGTGATTTGAGGTATGGTTTCTTACAGAATAAAGCACATGGCTTCCAGCCATAACCTGAGGGCATGCACACATTAAGTGCACGCTTATCAGCCAGTTTGAGGTCCGCACTAGATAGACAAAATGGAGCAGCACGCAGCATGTTTCTCTCGCTCTTTGATTTGCCTCTTTTTCTCGCTGTTTGTTCTGTTTTGGTTTCATCACCTAGAAAACAACAAAATAACAATAAAACAGATCCGACCATAAGAAAAACCTTAATGTTTTTTACTTCGCAGATGGATTTAAACATTCTGAATTGAGCTGTTTTGCTTTGTAAACTCCAGTGCAATACAAAAAGGCAAATACAGAAAGCAAATTTACTGTGTGAATGTATTCACGGCTAAGTTGAAACTGAAAAAGGAAGTTGCCCACCAAAATACTGTTACTGTATTTGACTGGAAACACCATCAGATGTTTTCTAAGGTTTTTTTGACCAGAAAATCACCTTCAAATAATGTTGAGCTGCGGTAGATCTTTAGATAAAGCAAAAATTTATTGTTTACTTTGTTCACATTGAGCGATTTTTCACGATTTATGCAAGTTTTGATTAATGCGATCGGATGTAAGTTGAGGTTCATCATTATGCAAAATCACACAACTGGCCGGCCACAGTTTTGTGAGGTACATGTACATGTAACTGTAAAACAAAAACAACAAATCAATGACGTAATTAAACCTAGGTTTGCCTGTTTGAAAAAGTAGAGATTATAATAATGAGGTGGCAAAATTAATGTGGCCACTGTTATAAAATGTAGAAACCTACTTTGTGTGGCCTTTCCAGCTGCTTCAGGCTCGTCAACTTGCTTTTCCTGTAGCCAGCATCCTTGAAAACGACCCAACTCTTTTTCTGCCTTTCTAACTTTTATGCTATCACCTTTACCAGTAATTAAGTCAAAAAATGTGCAAACAATATTTTTGAGGTCATGCATCAGGTCAGGAAAAGCTTGATTTGGCCTGTCATAGTTGGGCAACAACATGAAACAGTTGACACCTCGTGATCCAGTAGCTTTAGCAACATTACTGGCTTGTGCTTTGTTTTTTGCTCTGTTGTGGGCAACTGAATTCCAAAGAATATCAGTGATATTGACTTCTTCTGGTGCTGACCTTTTTTCTGGTTTGAAGTCTGGAAAGGACCTTTTCTGTTTACGCAAGGGGTGATCTTCACTAAGATAGCGTCTGTTTTCCAGATAGACTACCTTGTCCAAAGAGGACACAAATTGGCCTAGGAGTAATAAAAAAGAGAAGCAAAGGAAACATTGTACCATACACTGCATGTATTTAATGACATTTTGACCCAAAAATATTCATTTCAATAACATTTCAGACTTACAGCCGGTTAGCTTTACATTAAGTATTGGTCTTGTCTGATCAAATTGCGACTTACATTTGAGGACAGAAAAAAGTAATTACTAATCCCCATGAAATTCCAAAAAACTGAGAGGCAAAACTCCTCCCTTCCCTTTAATAAACTTACCTATTGACTTCTGATGATGTCAGTGAAAAGGCATGAATGTATGAAACGTAGTAATTTAAGTTGGTGGAATGTTTCAATAGAAAACTTTAGATGTCGCATGATACGCGATATAAAAGCTGTAATGTACTTTCAGGGCATTGTATGTTATATTGATTTCTTCTGCTGTGCACAAGATTAAAAGCAAGTACGTATTAAAAGCTTACAGAACAATAAGTAACAAATTGTGATGTCTATTAAAATTTGTTTCCAGACTCGGCATCAGCAGCATTAGAAAACTACATGGTTAAAATAGTAAGATGGTCACGCATTACATGTAATTTCCCAGGGTTGGGGGCATTTGAATGGCTTTTTGGCTCAGGGAGAGGGGGATTTGAACACTAATTTACTAAAAATTCAAATGCCCAAGGGGTTGTCTGGGGGGGGGAGGAGGGATTTCGAAGCCTCGATTTGACCGGTACACAAGTTTGCAATGGTATCATCCAATTATCATTTTGTGGAGGTATTTGAAAAGTTAAGCATTGATAAGATAATGAGTAATGATGGCAACATGGTTCACTTTTTAGTACTATATTGTTCAGTTTGAACTGCCTTACCTCTAATCTCACACCACATGCAACCTTGTAAGGCAGTCTGGCCTGCTGCTGTAAAAACCTTTCCCAGACCAGGATAGTCAAGAACATAACTTATCAGGGCAACTTTGAATGTAAATGACGCATTTCTGAAGGCATCAAAAAAAGTGGCACCAGACAGTTCCAGAACTTCATCTACAACTATTTCAAGGTATGGATCAAGGTGTTTTGGCTCTTGGCCTTCTGTTTGAGCTGGAACTATACCAGCAAGCATGATATTCTCAAACAGATTGCGTACGTTCCTAGGTAGGTTAAGGGCAGTAAGCATAATTGGCCACATTGAGTAATTGACCTTATTGCTACTAAACGGATTGACACCATCAGTGGAAAGTTGTAACAGCATTCCTCGGAGATCGCCATTGCAGAATCCTTCCTCCGAGAAAGCTTGTTTCCATGAAGGGGAATCATGAATGTCACGCATAATGGAAGAGTCTTCACACGCATCACGATTATCAGCATGGCTCTGAATGACTTCAGAAATACTTGCGTTTCCAAACACTCTTCTCCAACGAGGTCCAAGAGGAAAATAAAGAAATCTTCTTCTAGCATTAATCTTGTTGCCCCAATATCGATTGGATCCGCAAACGGGACACTTTTGCAGCTTTGAATAGTCATATCTACTAGTCTTGCGAAAGATGACACAGTCGTTCCGACAAACATGGTAAGATACCGTTGGAAGCAGAAATGGCTTGACAAAGTTGTACGCTGCATCGTACGACCCAGGAAGGTTATTTGGCTGTGGTAACAAACGCTTCTTCAATCGCAAAAGATCAGATAAGGCACTTTTGCTTGTGGATGGGTGTTCAGTAAACCACATAAAATAACTCGCTAATGCTTGAAGAACAGTGATATCACTATTTTCAAAAAGAGGAATCTTGGCATTTTCGCTGTCATAAATGTCGTGTTCCATTTCAAGGTCACAGTCTTTGTCGTCAGAGCTACTATAAGAAGGTAAGGATTCATTACTCCCACTATCGTCGCTTAACGCGGCTAAATCATGTTCTATCGAGACTTCATTGTCACTAGATGAACTCGTAATGTCGATTTCGTTTTGAATTATTTCGCCATCACTTTGCTCACTAATACTCGTTGAATCTATCCGACGTCGTTTGAAATTTCTGCCGCAGTTTTCCTCACTTGAATATGATAGTTCCGCAAATGAATCATTGCCATCATGTCTGTAATCGTTCGTCTCAGCCAACAATTCATCCCCGCTCCCGCTTTCAGATAACTGATCATCATGATCATTGTCATCATGTCTGTAATCGTTCGACTTGGCCAACAATTCATCCTCGCTCCCGCTTTCAGATAACTGATTATCATGATCACCTGAATATCGGCCAAACACTTCTAGATACCTCTTCACGATCTTAGTTGATTGGGTGCATTCGGATTTGCAATTTTTGCAAGGACAAACATGGTCTTTACTTGCTGTACGTTTTTTATCGCTCATGTGCTGCTCCGAGTATGGCATCTTCCTCACTCGTCGTTCTCGTCTGTGCGTTGCATAACAGATCTCGAATGTCACTAGTTAAATATAGACCTTTCGTTTACCATATACGGTGCGTAGTACACAGGGAGCCCGAGCGCTCACCGTGCGTGAGTCCTAACCGATAAGGGAATCTAAATTGTGAATGGAAGTTGCTCTCGTACAATCTGTGACTCAATCACCCCAGAAACGTATTTCGTTTTTAATTTTTATTACAAAGTACATAAGTTTTCTTTTTTTATAGCGATAAAGCGCAATATTTAGCTATAAAGCGCTAGGGCTCCCTGGGGTGAATTGAGTCGGTGATCATTAGTTGTCGGTAAATAAATGACCCCACCTTTACCATATATGTAATACCATCAGAGCTTCAAAACGAACGGCGCCAAAAGTGTAGTGTTCGTGCACGCGGCTCCTATAACTGATCTCGATACTTCGATCTAAAAGAATCGTTCTCGTAGCTTCTTTAATTTTGAAATGGCAAATCACGAGCAAAAAGTAATTTGCGAATTTCTCGCTTTGTTGAAAACAAACCCAAATGCTTTGTCCAGCGTTTTGCAAACGACACAGCTACAGGCAGCGATTACCTCCAACGAGCAAACGGATGCGTTGACCTCATCAAGCACGAGCTCTCGATCTACATCTAGTTCACCCACTTCTGACGAAAAGTCTGCACAGAACACTGGGGCAGTCGACATCGTTTCCACCGGCACCACCGCTTATAGCGCAGAAGATCTTCTGGCAAAACGAGGGGCAAAGGGCAAAGGATCGAAAGCCCAACAAACATTTCGGGTAAGTCCAATCTTAATTATATATTTAGCCATTTATTACAACTTGCGACAACCGAATCTTGAAAGATCTTGAAATAGATTTATCTTTCTCGTGTTCTTTTACTCGTACATATACACGTACGTATTCTTTACAAATAAACTTTATAATCTCAGCTCGAGCGCGGATCAATCGAGAAAATTGTTGACTTAAAAGTGTGAGATTTCAAATTGAAGATTTGGGTGATACAGATCACTACATGTATGAAGCCGAATGACGCTTTTCTTCGCTCAACACAATATCTTAATCTCGATCGGCTGGCAGTTGCCTTAACTTTATGCGATAGATATAAATTTCCAACGTACGATATCCCACAGGCGCAAACTAATGATCATTCCTCAACTCTTCGGGCAATATTAATTGTAGGGGTAAACACGCTCTAAAATACACGGGGAGAATCGACGGCGTAATTAATGGCCTTTCCTTTGCTTTCCTAAGTTGGAATTATGTTTGTATCATTATTTATACGCTAAAATGTCCGCTGCACGTTCGTTGGATTCAAGTTTAAAAAGCGCCGGCGAATATTGAGTTAAGAACACGTGCCTAGCTACTAGTATATTGTAGAACGCGATCAGCTTTCCAGATCTAGAAGTAAATAGAGCCTGCAGCATGTGTTGAGGGAATCTTCAAAGAAATGTGGTCTATGGGAAAAACCTTCTCTTATTCGAGAGATCAGCTGCAGAACCCGATCGATCGAGTAGAAAGCTATACGATCGAATCTAGCTATAAACGCGCGCGCGGGAAATTGCAAATTATTAACGGTCGTACATTTCTTCCTGCGCGCTAAGCCCAAGATGAGCCAGCTATTGGAGAAAGTTAACTACTCATGGCGTCTTAATAAGCTTACATTTCAGATCGAAAATTTTGGTTTCCGTGCGTAGCAAAGCTACAGAAAGCCGATCGATCGAATCTAGCTAACGCGCGCGCGGGAAAATGGAAATTACATAACTTGCTGAAAGGTAAAATCATGGAAGAATTTATAATGTTGTAGACCCTTTTGTCAAATGACCTTTTAATTTTACGTAAACTCTGAATTATTTATGAATGTAAGCTAGTGTTTTCAAGGAAGCCGTACCAATATAAAACTCTTTGCAAAAACGGATGCGTACGCGGCGGGCGAACGTCGATCTGATGATTCTGATCTGCAATTTTGCAAACTCCCATTTATTTCATGTGTTGTTTTTAGAAAGTAGTGCATATTTTTAGAATTTTCGACTTAAAGTTTGTTTTGAGGGCAACTCTCCATAGACAGCATACGTATACGAATCTTATGCGAAAATAAGAGAAACTGACTATACCGGTAAATAAGCTTACATGCATGTAAGACTTAAATTATATGTGAGACTCTAACGATCATTAATGGCCATCCGACTGATTAGGCCCCGCGCGTCCACACCGATGCGTTTAAAATATATATACTTTGTTTGAAACAAAGCGCATACTTTTCAATAGTTTTTGTCTATTGTCCACACAACAACGCACGCTGCCAAGAGTTGTGGAGACATTTGAAAATGGAGCCAAACAAAAACACATAAGTGTGGACGGGGCCGGCCTATTTAACAATTGTTGTTTTCTCAATTATTTTCAGTTTGTGTTGAGGGAGTCTGCCAGGAAATGTGGCATTTGGGAGAACCCTCCTCTCATGCGAGAGATTAACATGAAAACGCGGGAAGTGTTTACTAAAAAGGTATATATCTAGACTGATACTTTGTATCTGCAGTGGAACTTCTCTAATTATTAGGCCAGCGCTTAATAGGGGTTCGACTGGCCTTCAACTGTATTAGTAAGTCACTACAGAATTTATTGGACCTTTCTGTAAGTAGTTACCGGGAAGCTACAGGTACAATATTGTTGTTTAAAAAAATATGTGCATGCATGTAGATGGGTGGGTGGGGTGTAAGAGGAAAAAAGGAAAAGTACTAGTTAACCAAATCCGGACAAAATCTGTATCCGGTTTACAGATATTCATTAAGCAATCATAAAATTATTCATTCCTTTTCAATTTTCTTTATGAATGTTAATGAGTGTTATAATATTCATGTTACAAGGTAATCAATGCACTTCCCCAACTGGATGGTCATGCCCATACTATAAGAAGGAGGCTTTCTGAAAGTTTGATTTATAGAAGGAATCAAATAAAAAATACAAAATTCTGGAAGCGTGCTAAAAAGGTAAGCTTAAGTGTCTAACTTTTGATCTTCATTGTCAGTATTCATATCATATGCATATGGATATTGTATATTTTATCTCAAAACCAGTTACGTATACTGATCTTGACTTTACTTAATGTAATGACTAATTATGACAGACAGGTAGCTTAGGATCTAGTTGTCTTTTTTAATACAACTTCTCAACTCCAAATGTAAGTGGATAGCTTACAGTGTATTGCATGACTCACAATAACTTGAACCATAAGATTAAAGGAAGTTAGTAACTAAAAGACCTGAAGGGAAACAAATTTACTTTGAGTTAGCAGGAGGCTCAAGTTATTGATGGTTTAAGTCTGAAGTCAACTGAACTGTCAGGGAACCAATAATAATTTATTAGAGCAGGGTTCTAATTCTTTTGATGCCCTGGTATCAGCCACACCCATTATAATATTTTTTTTAATTGGCAAATGATAAAATTCCTTAATTTATTTAAATACAGGGTAAATGTTATTATATTACCTCTTTATCTCGAACTCCGATCCCCGAAACCTATTTCCCTTGCCCTTGTTTTTCAGTCATATTTACTATCGGCAATCTCAAACTGTTTTTAGTTTCCCTTGAAAATTGGAGATAACTTGACTCAACTCTATAATCATTTCACTTGTAGATGAATAAATACAAAGATGAGGCCTGCCAGAGGCCAGTAGTTGTTGCTGAAGAAAACTCCACACCGGTGAATACAACACTCATCCAAGTTGAGCAGGCTCTTAAAGTTGATGGTCCTGCAGGTCATGAAGTTGAAGAAGATGATCAGGACACAGGATTTTCTTTCACTTCATCGTAAGTAAAAATATGTTACAATGTAATTATACATCAATAGCATCTGATCCTGTAATACAGTAAACTCTCTCTAATTAAGCGGACACCACTGTAAGGCGGACACCTCGCTAAGGCAGACATGAATGGCTGGTCCCGGCCGAATCTCACTTGTTTGTCTGTAACTAAACTCTCTTTAAGGCGGACAGTGGACACTTCTTTAACAAAATTCAAGGTGGACACTAGAAGTACATTTTTTTGCACAATCAATAGATTATAGGCCAGATATTATTTCAAATTGACCAACCACGGCAATAACAATCTCAAACTGATCTGATTACAAGAAAATACTTGATACTGTTTACCTGGTTTATTGTATTCTGCAACCAGTTAATTAAGTTTTCTTGTTTACAGGGAGGAGCTGTTCGTAATGGATGGTGCAAGGAAAATTGCCCGGGCAACTTTTCTCCGAACATCCAAAGCAGACAGTAAGTACAGTATAACCCCTGCCTGATCAGATCTTACAGCAACCCAAACGTGTGACCACTAGTACTTTTAATTAATTCAAACTCTTTTGTGCTCACAGACTATCCAATCAGAAGATGAGGATAGTTTATCCACGGCTTCTAATTGAATAGTCTGTGCGCACAAAAGAATGTGAATTAATTTAAAGTGGTGACACTTTTAGGCTCCTTGCAGTATATTGTCACTCATTAATAAGCTTGTGTGTACAGCAATATATCTTAAACGTGTAAGACTTATCAGATCATTTCCAAATTTTTTTATACAGTGTCATAGTAATTATTGCTGTTTATAAGGCCCCCAGCCTCCAACCATGGGATATAACCTACGTACCCCAGTTGCATAAGCCCACCCAGCATGCCAAAACCACTTATAAAGTTTATTTAATTTATTACCAGAATTTTATGACATAATTATGTACTAATATAATCTGCTTTTTGAATTAATTCAAGGTGACTTTAAAAAACTGGTCATGCAGTCCAACTTTCTGAAAAGTGACGATAAAGTCGAGCTGACGGGACCAAACACGGAGAAATATCTCTGTGAAATCCAGGTAAGTACAAGTAAAAACAAGCCAGGATGAACGCCAGGAATTAATAGCCATTTATCACTAACATTTTTGCGTATTTAATTTCTTTATAATTAGGTTGGTCAAAAATTTTACTGGCCCGAAAACCAGTTGCTGAAACATGTGGCCAAATCAAAGCAAAGTAAGCCCAAGGAACCGGAGAAAACGGCAACACAAAGTAAGCCCAAGGAACCAGAGAAAAAGGCAACACAAAGTAAGCCCAAGGAACCGGAGAAAACGGCAAAGCAAAGTAAGCCCAAGGAACCGGAGAAAATGGCAACACAAAGTAAGCCTAAGGAACTGGAGAAAACGGCAAAGCAAAGTAATAAGCCCAAGGAACCGGAGAAAACGGCAAAGCAAAGTAAGCCCAAGGAACCGGAGAAAACGGCAAAGCAAAGTAAGCCCAAGGAACCGGAGAAAATGGCAACACAAAGTAAGCCCAAGGAACTGGAGAAAACGGCAACACAAAGTAAGCCCAAGGAACCGGAGAAAAAGGCAACACAAAGTAAGCCCAAGGAACCGGAGAAAACGGCAATCAGCAAGGAAAGCCAAGACCTGCAGGTGACACCAACCGACAAACAAACAGAGCCAACAAACTATTGCAAATATAAGGGGTATGTGTATGTACCTGTTGGTGAGGCTGTCCATACCCCTGCGCCATTACCAGAAAAGAGGCGCCGAATGGCAAAAGTCAGTTTAGATTTTGATTACATATAATTTATAATATACATACCAGTTAACAATTATTCCCCGCAGTGGAGGTGGCTAGTGGTGGTGTTTTAGTATATACCAAACCAGTGAGATAGAATCCCCAAAATAATTGATTTGTTATCTCTCAGAATACTGCAAAAAAGTCTTTTGCAAATACATTTGTGCACTGGGAGGTGAATAGCACATGCTATCCCGAGTTTGAGTCGCCAATCAGCGCATAACACACTGTCCACTGGCTTGATATACTAATTAACGATAATATATTATCAGAAATAATATAATTTGTTTTATAGAAATTTATAATGATAATTAAATTGATTTATTAATTGAACATTTTAATTATTAAAATATTATTCTTTACAGGATCGTATTTTGATCTTGAACTAAATTAAAAGTACTAGTGCTAGTGTCGCTTATATAGAGATTACTTCATGGTTGGTGAGTGCGTACGATTTTTATTGACGAGTTGTGAAGAATCGAAAACGAACGAGTGAGCGCAGCGAACGAGTGAGTTTGCGATTCTTCACAACGAGTGAATAAAAATCGTACAAGCGAACCAACCATGAGGTAATCTGTTTATTATATATGTACTGAGATATTACAAAATAATGTTAACAACTATCAATTGCGTGGTGAAATCAACACAAAGACCACAACGAGTTGCGAATGATTTTATTCGAGCAAACTGAACGTACAAAACTTCCTACAACATTAAAGTTATTCAATGACTCTGAAGAAAGTGGAACAAAGTCTACTTTTAAACGATTCTTTAACTTTAAATAACAATGAAAATTTTCAGCTTTAAATATCGCCGTTCAAAACCGTAACTAAGATATAAAATTTGAAAAAGTTGACTGTTTTGTAAATCCAATTATAGTAATGCATGCATTCTAATCAGAGTCAGAGTCCAGTACTTTTAGCCTTTGGAGAAGACTTTACCTCAACTTCTTGGATTGCCAACTTCGGGGATTGATTGAGGCTGTTAATAGAAATGCTGAATTGACCTCCATGAATAACAGCGCCCGTGAAAAGCGACATCGCTTGTTGGTGATGATCTGCCGCCGAGCGACCCGCCGAGCTAGCTGAAGGATCAGTGGAGCATTCTCCAACTTGAGATGAATTAGTTTTCTCTAAGCTATGCACATTCCCGGACATCAGTTCACTTAAAGTACGAGACATTTTTACTTGCTGTTTTTCAGAAACTACAGAATAATTTGTCACACTTTGAAGATTTTTATGTCCCGACAGTTGAATAATATCTGTCGCTGGGATGTCGTTGTTTGTTAAAGTTTGGATCATTGTTTTGCGACCGCTACGGTTCTTTACATTGGGCCCCAGCCCGGCTTTTTCTGCCATTTTTTCATTAACGAATTCAGCTTGTTCACGCCAACGGCTGACTTTTTAAACCATGGTTTGGAAGAATCTTGTTTTTACAGTTATTTACTGCTAGATAAAATGGCGCGTTGTTGTCGTTCATTTCCGACGGTCTTTTCTCCGCGTAGAATTTGTAAACAGTGACGGGATCTCTTTCACTTCCCTGAACCGAAAACATTTTCGGTTTTATTTGCCTGACATCTCTGGGATTTTCTCCGGTTCGAGTCTTAGTTTGTCTCTCAGTATACTCTAAAAATTCCTCGCCATTTGTAGTTTGGCGTAGTTGCACATCGCCCCAACACATGTCTCTGTGTTCCTTACAACCACGGAGACCGAAATAGACTGTGTTGTTGAACCAAACTGTATTCAGTAGAGCCTCAGGAGTTGACTTTCCTAACAATCCTTTGTCATACAGCAGTTTTATGTCGTCTTCTGTGAGGGGAACTGAAGCGTTTGGTTTATCGCCTTTGCCTTTCTTCTTGAGATCTCTTTGCTTTGATTTTAATGCCGTTCGTGCTTTTTCAAACTCGACGTCTCTCATAATGCTAGCCGTAATTCTTCTTCTTTAAATGCCGTTCAAAACTGGCCATCATAGCACGCAAGGAAGTGGGTTCGTAATCTTCGTTGTTTTCTTTCTTTCTTACTGTTATGATAAATTCGCTGATGAATGAACTCAGTTCGTGTGGGGGAATTTCTTCTACAGGCCTTGACTCATCTTTTAGCCTCAAAAATTCCTTAAGCAAAGCAACATTCTGTTCAGTTTTCTTCCTGGTGTTTTCGTTTTCTTGTCCTTCAATAAATTCCTCTACTGAAGTTATATCTGCAAACCTTGAATTGCTCGAAGAAGACGCCATGGTTTTCCTTTTGCCTAGTGACGCCGTCAGTGAAAGGCGGGAAAATCGATACGATTTTTGTCACTAGTGAAAACTTTCGTCTGTGGGTTGTGATTGGTCATACGGTATTTTTCACTAGTGAGAAAAATCGTACAACCAATCAGATTGCGTGTACTCTGCAACGCATCATTTTTATTTGACATATTCATTTTGCAGTAAATCTCAGTACATATATAATAAAAGAATTTATTATTATCACTGCTGGCCAGTGAATTGATTATTTTTAAATATTATTACTTATATTATGTTTATGATTCATTATCATCATTACCTTATTTCAATTATGTCTTTATTAACTGTGATGGATGGGTTTCTATAATAATATAGATAGTTTGGTTTATACAAAATACAAAACATACATTTTATTCTAGATTTTATATATATAACTTTATATTTTAATAATTAAACATTGTAATTTGATTAGCCTGTCCTGGTGACCGTTAACTAAAAATAAATTGTTCTTTCAGGGTTAAATTGCCTGTGTTCAATTTGCTTAATGAAATTGCTACATTTTGGTTTCATTAGAGGCTAGGACCTGGTGCCGGACTTGCAACGATGATTTGACATTGACGTATATATATGTGTATATATATGCCACTTGCATTTTAATTGGGACAAATCATCTTGAAACTAATTAAAGTTAATGAAAAATTGACGACCGAGCTATATATATACATGTAGTAGATCGCTATATAAAGTAATGATCATGTCAGATTTAATTTAATCAGATCGATCATGATCAGGCCAGCTACATGAAGCTATAGGCTGCATATAGATCATGGGCATGCGCATGATCTGCATGCATATATATATATATGATATGTCCGGCCAGGTACGTATACCGGATCTGAGATGATCAAGATAAAGTGAAAAAGAATGTGAAACTGAAATTTCACATGTTTACACGTCAATCAAAACAGGTTTCACATAGTTTTTCACATCATATCATTAAGCCTAGTCTTACAATGCATGATGTGAATTTTCTTATTTCACATAGTTTTTTCACAGGTTTCACATAGTTTTTCACATCATATCATTAAGCCTAGTCTTACAATGCATGATGTGAATTTCCTATTTCACATAGTTTTTTCACATCATCCATGATGTGAAAAGGACCATCCCATTTCACTTGGTTTTCACATGGTGATTTCACACTGTTTTTCACACATGCCCATGTGAAAAAGCAAGTGAAATTTTCACATGTCTTTCACATGATCTTCACATGCTTTTCACATGGTTTACTCCAGTAGTGTTACTACAATCACAATGATGTGATTAGTGTACACTGAAACTTATCAAACCTTTTTGTGGTCAGACAATATGTCACTTAAAATAGATGTACTGCACTTGTGGAAATCAACACAAATCACAGAGACAAGTTACTCATGATTTTTATACATTACCTTAATTAGCTTCTTACATATAATAACTGTGGAAGATTCCAAAGCAGAATAACAGAGCGATGTCTTATTTGCTGGTTTATTATTAAAAAATCCAAGCCCAACCTCCATTCAGGGGACACTGCAGCTATATTCAAGGGACACCAATTGCCCTGGTCTTGAGGATGTCATCCCCTGTATCACAGATTCCACTGTTTAATCTCAGGCCACTTAAGCATTAGATCGGTTCAAAATTTCACAGTGAGATAAATGTAAATTTCTGACTAGTCCCGAGCCATTTGCGTAGTAATGAAAACCGGATGATTTGCCTTTGAGAATAATATTTGATAAATAATTGTGTAATAGGTTTACAATTCAAGAATCCAACTAATGATGAGATAATAACCTCCCATTTCAAGCTTCTTTTGGGAACATTCGATCTGCAAGCTCGAGCCATCGTTTGTAACATTCATCACCACAATGGGTCCTATGGTTGTTTGTACTGTGAAGAGAAGGGCTTGGTGGTACCATCTGGTAAAGGGTATTGCAGATGCTATCCTTTCAGTAAAGAGGTAGTGCATAGGAACAAAGCAATGCTTGAGGAAAATGCACTGGATGCACAAGCCTTGGGATCCAAGGTGATCGAACTGGTAATTTATAAAAGAGTAAAATAAGCCACACACAACCATGGTTTCTGTTGTTTCTTAGTTCTTCTATCTTCACATAATTTACAGCAAATCTAAGTTGACTGAACATATAACCTGAAATAAATATTTTATTAGGCAGTTGTTTTACTGTTTTACTGCTGGCTGGTTGATGATTGTAAATTTCGCTTAATTTATATTAACCTGTACTTAGTCATGACTTAGCCATGTTGAAAGTCTCTTTTCCTCTTTTTCTGTTTTTTGTTTTGTTTTTGGTTAAACTTATAATAGAGTACAGTGATGGGCATCAAAGGTGTAAATGTGTTTATGGCACTAGAAGATTTTGATCTGACCATTGGCATAGTTGTCGACTACATGCATTGCATCCTGCTGGGTGTGACAAAAACAATGATGGAACTGTGGTTTCTTCCCAAGAACAACAAAAAAGATTGTTTCATTGGATTACAGGTTGTTAAAAATTATTTCATTATAATTAATTAATTCTGTTCAATTAATATTTTTTGTCGTACAGGTAACTGTTGAAGTACTGTTCTGTATTTTGAGCTTATCAATAAAGGTGCAACCTGTGATAAGGCTTTCCATGTAAACACTATTTTCCAGAGTAAAACTTTTTTTTTTACATTCATTTGAGTTGTAGCTATTAATTAGGCTTAAGTGACTTGATGTCTCATTTTAGGTTGAGGACATTGACAGAAGACTTCTAACCATGGTTCCACCAGACTTCATTAAGAGGCCCCCAAGAAGCATTCAACAGCTCAAGTACTGGAAAGGTAAACAAGTAAACTTTTAGGTTTGCTTTGCTGTCAAAATGCTTTCAGATTTATTTCTTTTGTGGTCTCAAATTTTATGACTTTTGGAAGCCTATGATCAATAATTGAGTAACCAATTTTTTTTGTCTGGATCCTGTACAGCTTCTGAGTTTCGTAACTGGTTACTGTTCTATGGCATTCCATGCATGCAGGGGATACTCCAGGACCACTTTTTATACCATTTTGCCTTACTTGTGGAGGGAATATATATCATTCTTGGGGATGAAATCACAGAAGACTTATTGAAGAGAGCAAAATGCTTACTTCTGGAATTTTACAAACTTTACTTGGATTATTATGGTTTGTGAATACAATAATATTATTATCATATTTTCAAAATTATAATGTATTGTTTTGTTAACTGCAGTATTAATAATGTACAGACTTCCTTAATGCTTTCAGACCAAGTAATTGCTATATGATAAAATTCAAGAAAAAATTCAAATAGTTCAATACAAAATTTTTGTCATGCCACAGGATTTCATCCAGAGACATTAAATTAGCTCAATAGAACGTACGATTGAGAGGATCAAGGTGACAGAGGAACAGATACCACATAATTGAAGATGACAAAGAAACTGTTATTTTTGTGTCAAAAATCTAGTCTTTTCCTTAGAACATATGCTGTTCCTCCCAGATGGGCAAAACTGAGTTACGACTGAGAGTATCAATTTTAGGCATAGAGATTGGATAAACAGATGAAAAGATTTGAAGTCATTTGCTATATTTTACCAAATACCTGTAGAATACGAAACAGTCTCCTACCCCTGTGTTTATTTTGCAGGTAGTGCAAGCTGTGGACTCAATGTTCATAACATAAGGCACCTTGTGGAGTGTGTTGAGAATTGGGGACCTCTGTGGGCTTGGTCGTGCTTTGGGTTTGAGGGAATGAATGGTGAAATGATGAAGTTTGTGCATGGCACCAAAAATATATGTTTACAGGTGGCTGCCTATTTGCCCTTTCATATATAACAGCAAAAAAGGCATTTTTCTTTACTAGGTGAATTTCCTGTTCAGTTTACTCTTGCCAGTGACCATAATTGGATCCAAATTGCTGAAGAAAACTCGTGCAAGCTCATTACTTGACTCTTACCCAGTTGTTCTTTTAGCTCTCATCGCAACTCCTTCGATAGCTCTGCAGTACATGTGTCAGTCCTCACAAACAACTGTACATTTGTTTTTAAGTTTTTGATGTCATTTTATTAAGGCTATGTGTGCAAATATCGTCTTAAACAAAACAATCCACTATGTGCATGACAGTTAGGCTTGACTTACATGCTGTCTTCCAAAATTATTTTAGATACTCTGGATGGTTAGTGCTCAAAAGAACCTGTCACTAAGGGGAAGTGCTTTGGCTTCTGGCTCCAAATTCCAAAAGTTCTTCGTTAGAATGATGGCTACTTCTAACAGGTAACTAGTAATACCTCGTAATCCAGTGAACATTGTACCTCGTGCACTTTAAATAAATGCATTATAATGAGGCTAAGCATGTCCCCCTCGACACCTTGAAAAAATTATACCTTCTTACAGGACTATTAAGTAATATAGATGTTGACGCGCTTTTTTTTCATAGGTTCCCCAAGCAGTTACTCCAGGCCAACGACTGTTCGGTTGCAGGAAAATTGCAACCGTTATCTCCGAAAGATATACCTGCTACCCTGATGAGAAAGATTGAGGCAATAATTGGCGATGATGGCACCCATTGTTCTTTTAGCAAGGCATACCGTGTTGTACGCCAAAGTGAATTTTACTACTCCATGGAGTACACTAAGTGCAGAAAAAGAAATGGATACACAGTTTCATACCAGAAGCTTAATGGACACAAGGATTGCTTTGGTCATATACAGTTCTTTGTTTTAGTCCAACCATCTATGTGTGTATTGGCCATAATACAGCCTCTTGTGATAGACTTGGTCTGTGAAAAGTTTTGTCACTTAATCCCAGTCAAAGCTGTTGAAAGGTACATGACTACAATATTGTGATGTGTTTTCAAGACAGTATCTGCCAGGAATATTATTCATCAAATTAATTTACTACAGGCTTGGTGAGTGGAACCAGGTGCAAGAGCTTGGTTTCACTCAGGCTTGTAAGCATACCATATTCAGAACTTACGAAACATTTCCTTTCCATTAAGTACTGTATGTGTTTTGCTTTCCCATGTATATTATCAGTTTGGTTTAAAATAGTTTATTCATTTTATCCTTTTTCTTTCAAAACACTATCCAGTTACATGGATACATGGGGTGGGTCAATTCAGAAAATGAGAGAGCATTAACCCACCTTTTCCCCCCTATTTGGAAGTCTTATTTAGTTATTTATTCAAATTTGCATTAGGTGCTGTCCTTCAATTCTTAATGCCATACCAGAGCCAGGTCTGGTTAACACAGTCAAACCCCTCTACAGGGGCCACCTTTTTTCATCCCAGCGGACAAAAAAATCCATGCAATTGACTCTTGTTTAAAACCTCTCTACAACGGCTACTGTGGCCCCAAGGTGGCCGCTAAGATATAGGTTCAACTGTATTTGAATTAATTTCTCTATAATTTGGTTATGCAAAATATTATCATATTAATTATTAATTCCTTCACTTTCTTCCAGGATCACCCAGAACATGGATGTCCTCCCCTTCAACTGCATAGGGCGGAAGAGTTTTTTCTTGGCAGGAAACAAAGACTGCACTTATGTTGCAAAGATTCCAAATGCAAATGAAAAGGACTGATTTCATTGTACTTTTATCTTTGGCTTGAGGGACATTTTTGTCAAGCAAACTTATATTTCTTGCAAGACTGAACAAGGATAATATATATGCACATTATATATCCCTATTTCTTTGTTAATGTCTGATCTTATTTGTTTCTTGAATGAACACTAAGATTAGTGACACCTTTGCCACTGAAAACAAAGTTAGCACTGATGATATAATATTCCATAATAGTCGACTGGAAGTAATATTGAAAAATATTGATGCCCTTCTTTCTTTGTTGATGTGGAACCCTTGCAAATTTCGTAATACAATTAAAAGTAAACAGATACGTCAATGGAATTCCATGGAACTCCCTGAATAATTCATGCAACTCCATGGAATTCCATGGAACTCTATGGATAGTCCATGGAGTTCCATGGAACTCCATGGACACTCCATGGAACTCCATGGACACTCCATGGAACTCCATGGAACTCCATGGACACTCCATGGAACTCCATGGAACTCCATGGAACTCCATGGAACCCCATGGACACTCCATGGAATTTCCATGGACTTCCATGGAATTCCATGGAACTCCATGGAATTCCATGGACTTCCATGGAATTCCATGGACTTCCATGGAATTCCATGGAATTCCATGGAGGTATTTCACACGGGTTGTTGGCTGCTAAATCATGGCTCTTCATTTTTCTTTCAGAAAAAAAATTAAAGGGCCAATATGCTCTGAGGGAGTCAACTAGCATCAGTTAGTTAGACAAGGACAAGTACCTTGCATGTATGTCCGTTGCATATATGTCATCAGAGGAGTCTTTGTCTGAAACAGCTGTATCAGAGTGGCATGAAGGTAATTCTTCAGATTCAGATGAGGACCTCCCAGACAGGGAAAATCTCTGTGTAAGGCCACTTTCCTGGCAGAGCATTGAGGTTAATGGTTTAATGGCCCAGTTGGACCGCAAAGTTGCATGGTATCAAAGCCAATGAAGTGAAAATAATGGTAATAGAGCACACAGTGAGACCAGCATCAAACCAAGGAGCACCAGAGTTTGAGTTTGAGTTTGAGTTTGAGTTTGCTCTGGCACCCACCACTTACAATAGAAAAAGGAACTTGATCATAAGCATAACACAGATAATTTTTTGAAGAACATCAAGGCTGTGCTCTAAGGAAAATTGAAGGGAGCACAGTCCTCTGAATCTGTAAAATCTAGGGTGCCCAGCGTATGATTTGTATGAAAAATCTGTGATTTTCTAGTCGCCCGAGGGCAAAAGTTAGGCGCCAGGGGCCACCGGGCTCTGCTAGAGCACAGCCCTGAACATTCAGAAAAGAAGAAGACAGTTAGATAAAAATTTACAAAACACTCAAGTTGAAGTTGACATGTATCATGGTTCAGTTCCTTTTCAGTTCAGTTCCTAGAATCATATTTACTCAGTAGACAATTGCACAATTTTTTGAGTTTTGATGAAGACCTACAGTGTAGTAAGTGAATATCCTTTGACACCCATGGGAAGGAGCCACATTAAAACTAGGTAAATTACCAAATCTCAAAGTGATTTGTCACAATCCAATGAAAATCTTGCCTGTGTTGCAGACACTCTAAACCTTCTGTATAGAGCATGCTGTCTGAGAATTAGTGCACAATATCATGTTTGAATCCCACAGGGTCACAAAGACATGCATGTATGTCAGTGTTTTGTGACTGGCTAGGTTCTTACGCTGTTTGTGATTAGTCCGATTTGAAATAAAGTGTTAACACAAAGTCACATAATCTCAATGACCTTTGTATGGTATGGTGGAGCCACAAACTTTCCCTTACCAGACAAATGTCTGCAAAATTTGCCATCTTTGCAGAGCTGTCCTCGTTAGTTTGCACCGAATCACTCTGTAACTTGGCAACTTTACTAAATTTTAAAAACCTTCCATCTAGTAGCCTGTAAATGCAGCTGTATTTTCAGTCGTCGTGTCCATTCACCCAACGTATGTAATTGGAGATACATCTGCATCCACTTTCCGCACTGGTGACAGATCCTAGGGCTACCCTAAGCACTGCCTTAAAAAGTGCCACTCCGAGGACTAAATCTAGCCAATACATCCCATAGTAGAGTAATTACTGGACTCCAAATCCCATCATCCTATTTTGTTCTTGGCATATTTTATGAAAAAAGAGTGCAGTTATGTTTTATGCAAAAAAAAAAATACTGTGTGTGATAACAGTTTTTTGATAAGCATGGCTTAAATTTTAATCACCTGCATGCCAATAACAATAATAATGATGATGAATTAAAGAAGTTCTACAGAGCTTTCATAGTGTATAGATTGTGTTTAGATAATTTGGATATTTAATCAGTCCAATACTGCAAGCAAAACAGCTGATCATGTGAATCAGAAAAAAATTGCTCAAATTTTTAGCAAATAATTTGATTTTAGTAGAAAAAATAAATGTTATAAATTATTTATGGTCATATAATAATACAAGAATTTCACCAAATCATATTATTTACAGGGATATAATAATAATAATAATAATAATAATAATAATAATAATAATAATAATAATACAAGTATTTAACCAAATCAGTGGATAGCAGATTTGCTTTCATAACTTGAAACGCTTTTGGCTACCTATAGGATGAGAGTAAAATTGGGGTGTCATTTCATGCTAGTTCTAGAAGTTTAGCAGTAAATGAAGCACCTGTAAAATAAAATACATGTACATGCTAAAAAGGTGACAAAATTAACCTTATAAGTGTTTACTGCTGGGTAAAAATATATCAAAGTCGTACCCAAATCATAGAAATGCACAGAGCTTTCGCATAGTAACTCATTTTATTTACAAGAAATATTTTTATATAACTGATCTGGTTAAAAATGAATCATTCAGATGTATCTCCCCTTGGGGTAAGTGAATAGCACTAGGTACACTATATAATATTATTCACTGCCTATTTTGGGTAGCGGATAATATTTATCAGATGAAAACAAGTTCTTATAAATAATAATTAGAGGAATATCGCTTATCACAATAATTTGAGGCTAATTTTATTTCCTGTGGTTGATGTTCTGTCCATTAGTAAGGATGTTACATCTACATTGGGAGTAATGTGTACGTGTTGTCATCGTACAACCATTTGCCAATAGTATCAATTGAAACTAGAAAGAGTATATTTGAAGTATACCACTCAAATGGAGTTACGTTTTACCTCTACCAACCTTAGATAATTATGAACCAGCTAGTGTTGACTTGCACTTTCAAACCCAATGTACATTCTT